GGGCTGATCTTTTAATGAGAAAAATGAAGCCTAACGTCTTTACCTAAACACTTAATTTTTTCCTTTATTTAAAACTGTAAACGGCCGGCATCAACTTGCATACTATACGATAGATCTGCGTTTAATGGTTCCATAAATGTCTTAACAATGACTTTGGATAGCTGCCGCTTTGATTATTATAGATCCTTTACTCGCGTCCTTAGAGAGTTAATTATTTTAAAAAATATTCTTCTTCACAATCCCATCACCCTTACACCCCACCCCTCCCACTTCCCCACTCCACCCCCCTACATTCAGGTGTTGTTTTTTTTTTAATTTCGCAGTGACCTGAGTGGCTTTAAAATTGAAAATTTGGGTTAAAATCCGATTACTGAGTGCATGGAGCTCTTGAAAGCTAACGTAGTCCTTTCGAAGCTTTCAGCATGAAAAAACATTTGCTTAGAGCGTCTTGCGTCACATTTCGACTGCCACGGAAACATTTAATAAAACCGTCAAACCTGCTCTTAACGACCAGGTGTTCAAGACGGTCACCTGTACAGACAATCTTTTTCCACGTCCCCTTTGCTTCCTTGCGTTTGTTTTACTATAAAATTATGACACCGTCCTAGATGACCTCTTGTCTAAAATGACGTTTTTTGTCCTCGACTTTCTGAGGTCGTCTTGAACACGTTTGATTGTAGTTTCTACTTCAGGGAGCTCTCGTGGTCTAGAGGTTAAGATGCTCGCCTCGCATTCAATAGGTCCTCGGTTCGAATCCGGATAGCGACGGAAAGTTTTCTTTTCTAAAATGTTCCCCTTTCACCCCCTTTCTTGCTCTCTAACAATGTTTTGTCGTCTGCTTTCTTGTACACTTTCTGCCCCCACCCCATTACAACCTTTGCCCCCTCGTGCGGGCTCCTGATTCTTTCTGCCGCCTTTCTACTGCTACTCCTTGCTCCTTCTTACTGCCGTCTTTCAGACACATCCCTGATCTTATGGTAGGTAAGATCTACACGTAGCCTTCTCAGAAAAGGGTGAAAAATCTCGGAGATCCCGTGTGCAAATTGCAAACGTTGAAGATCCCTTGTTGATCCAAAATCGATAAGAGTAGGCTTCGGCTGTGACCAGGACAACATTCAAAATTTTCTATCAACTGAAAATGTTTAACATGTCCCGCGCGCTCACATGACCTTATGCAGTAGCGAGCGTCGTAAAACACTTACAAAAAGAAAAAAAAAGGGTTTCTACTTCGTAGACTGTTGGGATGCTGCCCCTTCGTTGGAGAACTTCTCCATTTGAGTAATGATCTCGCGATCGCCGGTATAATCTAGTTTTAATAAGAGTTTCACCGAAAAAAGTAGGAGAGATCAGGACGACAGATGTTTGACAGGAAGGAAGGAGCAAACCACACCAGAGTACCCGCCAACCACCCGCTATCACAGCTGTGCCTACAGGAAGAAATCATAATGAGGCAAACACAGTAATAGGAGACGAACATTACACTATGAGGTATTGATGTGGGCGGTTGGAGGGTATCCTGTTTGATTTGCTTCTTCTTTCCTATCAAACATCTATCGTCCTGTTTCTCCTCCTTCTGTTTAGTGTTTGTTACTCTTATAACACCTCTAATCTTCGGCAGGTAAATTATGACCTTATTGTGTTGCAAGTGCCCTAAAACTCTCACTAAAACTAACTAAGACATTGATATTATGATCTCAAGTCTAGAAAGACGAAAACGATCAGGTAACAACAACTTCTACAAGAAACGAAGGCATAGTTTGATAACCTACCTCCACTCGTTGTTACACTATCAGCAAGAGTGAGCGAGGCTATGCTCAGCAAAGACAGTGCAAGGAGTAGCTGCATCTTCCTTTCTTGAGGATAACTGTCCAGCTGCAAACACACCGGCACAGGCTGCGAGGAATTGCTGATTATTCGCATTTCAACGCCACCTTTTATATGAAACGTTGGAAGGACAAATTAAAATAAACTTCATCTCAGGGTGTGGATATCACCAAACATTGAATGATGTTCATTACTCGCCCAGAACAAAACGTTACCATCCGCGAGATGGATGCTGTCGCAAACTTTCACAACTCTCACACCTTTTCCCAATTTCCCGCCGTGACGTGGTAGTTTCTTCTCACATCAACGTCAAAATAAGTTCCCACCTTAATGAACGTCAACTGTGCATACTTCAGGCCGAGGGAGATAAAGAGAGTTACTTGATAAGTAGATTATAATAGTATCGATTCAAAAAACTTTCATTAGCTATTCTTAGCACACCTTTTTGTAAAGTGTCTTATGTTTTCAAGGGCGACGTAACAAGATGAGTATGTGTGAATAATAGCTTCAAACATAATATTTTGTCATTGCTGACATGTGGAAAAGACAAATAAACAATGACAGCAGATGATGAAGAAACGAAGATACATACATACATACAAACATACATACAAACATACATACATACATACATACATACATACATACATACATACATACATACATACA